TTCTACACATTGCAATTGTGTGTATCTATCGATGCCAATCAACGTGGAGACAATTTCAAAGAAATATACTGGGATGGATCCCCTAGGCTCCGGGGATCAATGGTAGCTTCTCTCAAAGCTTCGGTTTGTCACTTTCCTCAGTGGCACCAACAGGAAACTGAGACATCTCAGTTTGCTCTAATTTAAATTAAACGCCCAAAGCTAAGTTGGTGATCACGTCTCCAGTGCTCACAAATTGAGGTTTCTGTCTTCTCCGGTGAGAGTCTTCAGTTCCAGAGCCTCCTCCGCTGTCAGTCTCCGGCGTGACTTTGAGCTCTCCTCTCCTTTCTCCTAAATGCCCATTTAGTGTTGCATAATTTCCTTAACTACCCGCAGTTCCCTCCAAGGAGCTTTATCTTGTTTTTAATGTCTTCCTGTTAAGCTCATTAAAAAACATATTTTAAACATTATACAATGGAATGGTTTATAAACGTGCATAATTGTGTCATTTTTCTTAAAGCAAGTGTTGTTTGAGATTATTATGCAGCATAGCGATGTTACAATAAGATTACACATAAATTAAAAAATTAAACTAATGTTAAATTATTGTGTTGATTCATATATGTGTGGGTTTTTGGGGGTTTTTTTGTGTGTTTTTTTAATCTCAACTCTGGAAAAGCAGACTTTTTTTTTTTTTTTTTTTTTTTTTTTTTTTAAATATATTTTATTGATTTTTTACAGAGAGGAAGGGAGAGGGATAGAGAGTTAGAAACATCGATGAGAGAGACACATCGATCAGCTGCCTCCTGCACACTCCCTACTGGGAATGTGCCCACAACCAAGGTACATGCCCTTGACCGGAATCGAACCTGGGACCTTTCAGTCCGCAGGCCGATGCTCTATCCACTGAGCCAAACCGGTTAGGGCAGAAAAGCAGACTTCTTATGCAAATGTGGGTAGAAACAAGGGCTGGAACAAAGGAAAAAGATAAATTATCTCCCTTTGAACCTCATTGTTGTTGTTTTTATCAGTAAAACAAAACACAGTTATCTGTAGCCAACCTCAAAACCTGGCTTTGCCCTGTTGCCCTCTCTGATGTTTCCTGGCATCTCCTTTGTCTTTCCTGAGGAACTCACCCTCTCCCATCTCTCACTAACCCTGTCATGTTTTTCCTCCAAAGCCTCTTACATTGAGCAATCAATTACTTCTAGTTCTGGTACCAAATCTGCAGTGCTTTTAACATTCATGTGAAAAGGTCCTATGGATAAAATTCTGGCTAGAACAGGTGATCTGGAATACTTAGTCTTGATTCCCAAAAGGCCTAAAAGATAGCAACATTGTTTGAAATTTTTTATTCAAAAATAAAAATGTTTAATAATGAAAAGCCCGATGCGTGAGGTTGTCAGCAGCGGTCTCCAAGTGCACTTATCTAAAGAGCCATGTATCTTGTCCAGGCCCTAGAGGCTGTTGCAATATTACTTTTTTTTTAGACGTTTACTTCTAAATATAACTTTCCCCATATTTCACAGAAACGTCAGTTACCTCTCTCCTCCTCATATTTATGCCTTTGTACTTACGTTGATTACCGAACTAAAGACATAGTCATCAGGAAGAAATATTTATCTGCCCTAAGCATTACAAGAGAAGCAGATGATTCATTCTGACACCTGGGAATGAATTTAAAATAACTGTAAATTGGAGTGGATAGGAAAACGGAAGCACACCACATAATTAAAGCTCCATCAACTGTAAGATAAAAACTAAGGTGGGTGACAGGCACTACTTTCCCTTTGTCAGTGTGTGCATAGCAATCCGTCTCCTTTCTGGGTACCCCCCTGCTGCTTGCCCTACATGCTAAACACCCTTGCAGGCTCTTAATTAAAGTAATTGCATTTTGCTTGACAAACTAGGATGGTTGTCTTCAACGGATTAGTCTTGGAAATAAATAAAAGTAGCTCTTTCATCCGTTTAAAATATAGAAATGTACTTTTTAACTTTGAAATAGATAGACCCAATAAATCTTGTCACCAAATTGGTCTATGAGCATAAACGTAATTCCAGAGAAAGCATTCTTGAATTATTTATCTCGGGCACTGAGTAAATATGTGTTGAATAGATTAATTACTAAAGTTACCATACGATCAAAACAATCATGAATGTGTGTATTGTATGTGTGTATGCAACATATATATTTATAATACAGCTTTTTGAATTACTTAACAAAAGAACTAAATCTATACTATTTTGAGGAATGGATCAATCATGGCTTTTCTGGAAATTATGGATCCTTTGAAAAACACGTTTATTAATGTTTCTGGGAAAATTAAATATATGAATGTGCATATATTAACACACACAGCTCAACTGCTGTGTGTGTGTGTGTGTGTGTGTGTGTGTGTGTGTCCCTTCCAACAAATTACTGAGGAAGAGAACTGTGCTACTACACTTTAGGCTTATAAAGTACATATGAACCAATGCAGCATCATCACTTCCCTGGTTAAGTCTCAGAAGGTACTGAAAATTAACATGGATAAAGCTTACTCCAAGGAAAATGAAATAAACCTGGGATGAAGGTAGTTTGAAGTGATAAATAAGTTTGGATCCTTGACCAAAACTATAATAAGCAGGCAGATTTTAGAATTTAAGCATGTGCCTAAAAATACAAGCGGTTTCCAAAAAAAAGTCCAAGCTAAAAATAAAAAGTGGGAGAATGAATTCTCAGAGACAATAGAGTGAAATCTAAGTGACAATAAAGTTAATTAAACGATGAAATGTTTCCTTTCTTCTTTTGTTCTCTCTCTTCTGTCTGTGTCTCTGGGTTCTCCTTCCTTTCTAATTTGGAGTTTGTACTTATTTTTAATACCTTGTATTTCTGTCTCTATCTATGATCCAAAAACTGTTTTCAAGCTACAAAGTTGAACTGAATTATCTAGCTTGCACCACCAGAAACCAAGTCTAACTTAATGTATTCTAATCAACTAAATGATCTTATAAATGATCAGATTTCAAACTGCTGACCAGTAGAGGCAAGAAGATTGGTTTCTTTGTACTTTTCTATGATCCAATTAATCCCTGGTAGAGCACCTAATTTCTCTCTCAAAAAACCCTGATCTCAATTTCCTTTTCATTCCTCAAATTTAGAAAGAACAAATCTCTAAGAAGACTTGGTTTATGTTATAGAAAAACACTGTAATAATTACAAGTGTTTGGGCATCAGGGTTTTGATTCATGCTATTGAAGTGGGATTCTAAGCCTTTCTGAGTGACAACAATTAAAACAAAATGTGCAGCTGATTTACAAGAGCAGGTTGTAATCGGTTCTAGTATCATAGTCTTCCAACTGAAATATTTTTATTCTATTACAGTATAAGATTTTCTCTTATGCGGAAAAGTTTTAAATACTATTATTGTAAATCATAGCACTCTAAATTCCTTTTGAATGATACAGATATTTTAATTCTAAAGCAAAGATCAATTAACATATTAATAGAAAATAACTTACTGTTATTTAGTTTTTTATATCAAAGACATAATTAGATTTCTTATTTCTAATACAAATAGTTACCTTCCTTCTTGGCTTTTTGACATATTTGCATATATGAAACAAGATTTACTCCCTTTACTACAATTTTTTAATATAATCACTGTTCAAAAATTCTTCAATTTTGTAAGACAACAAATTGAGACCCGACCAGAAATTTTGGCATCAGTATCTAGTAAAATCGGGTTTCTGTTAAAATCTGCAGTACCATGATTCTCTAGTCTCAAATCTAGAGTATATGTGAAATACAGCCACACCAATGTTTTATTTTCCAAGAAATGATCAACCACAAACCACACCAAATACATCATAAATAAATGGAAAGTGTAGCAAAATAAATAAACATAGTACAGAAGGTGTGAATGATGTGTATAAAAACCCTGCATACACAATCTAGGGAATAAAGGTTCAATATATAAATTTTGAGGGGCACAGCCCCCCAAACACTCAGCCGATAACAGTGCCATTTCATCAGGTTTGTTTAATTGCATTATGCAGGTAACGGGGGAGGGTGATTTTACATGAAGGAAGTACATGTAAAAAAATGTAAAGGGGGATGTAGGAAATCAAGTTTTGACAAGAACACTTAGGAAAGTCCAGTTTGAAGAAAAGCTTTCATGGACGTGATTGAAGGAAAAATACATTAGGAAAGATATACTCTGGCAAGTGTTTAAGCATTCTGGACTTCATTATGTATATTAAGGAGAATTGCTTAAGGCTTATGATCAAGAAGCTGCTATAATCAGAGGTGCTTCAGGTCTATTAATCTGTCAGTAGCATAGTTCAAGATCAAAAGCTAAAACATAAATCTCATTAGCAGTAGAGGTTGTTCAAGCTGGAAACATATCTATATGCAAGAGGGGATTGGATAAATTCTTGTTTTGCTCTGGAATGTAGGGGAGTTTGTCACAATTTAGTGTTTTTATATTGATACTGTGAAGGGCACTTTGTATTTCCCCCACAGACTAACCTTTTGTTTCTTCTGTCACAAATAGAAATAATAAAGAACCAGGATTCTTCCTGATTATGGCTTATTTCTTGGAATTTTGTAATGTTCTGCGGCTAGCAAGCTAAGTAGTATGTAAATAAATACAACATAGGAACAACAATTAACAAACATTCACTGCTTATTCTGTAGTTTGTTATAACTACATAAACACACATATGTACATATCTTCACTCAACGCTGATGTCTAGTTATTTGTGCAAATGCAAAAAAAGACAAATTGCTAATATGATTAGAGGTTGGAACTCGCTATTCATAATATGAACAAATACCCCAAAGTTCTACTTTTCTTTCCTTAGACTTTAATTTAATATAATTTTATTATGTGTATTCAACTTATTAATCAGTTATCATCATGCCGTGTTTAAGATTTATAATGTTCTCTCATAACACATTTACCTTTGAATATTCTATTGAGAAATCTCTCTCTCTCTCTCTCTCTCTCTCTCTCTCTCATTTTCTTCATTCTTTGCAGACACCATCCATCTTCGAGTACTTGAATCCTCCCCAGTTGGCACAGCTGTTGGAAGTTGGCACAGCTGTTGGAAGTGTAAAAGCAACTGATGCTGACACTGGGAAAAATGCTGAAGTTGAATACCGAATTATTTGACATCATAACTGAGAAGGACACACAGGAAGGCATCATAACTGTGAAAAAGGTGCACACCATCAGCATACGTTATCACCCGACTGTAGGAAGGAGAGATTTCAATATGTAGTCTCCACTCACGCATTATCCATTCAGAAATCTCACCATCGTGTTCAAATGTAATTTATATTGTGCATAGTCTGAGAAACATAAAGCCAAAGATCTTGGACATTTTGACCAAATGTTTTCTTTAATGAAACAAGAAACCTGAGATTTCACAAAATTTACAAGGCAAGTTAATATACAAGGTGGGGCAAAAGTAAGTTTACAGTTATTCATATGGGGAAATAACACAATAATTAATACATAATAATACAAGAATAAACTCTGAGTTTCACATACAACTGTAATCTTATTTCTGCCCCATCCTGTATGTGTGATTATATTTCTGAGCCACATTAATAAAAGCCTTCCATAATAATATTTTCTTAAATAAAACAGTTAATAGCTAGTAATGTCAATATATTATCACAGTTGGAAGCACAAAAAGTAGCATACCTTCTATCCAGATGTATGAAGTAATAATTAAGCTGCTAATAAAAATAAATAGCATGGATTGGAGGATAATTTAGTTGTTCACACTTTCCCTTCTGCTACATAAATTAAACTTTTCTGCCAAAATATGTTTATTAATATGGTTTAAAGGTAACTGTTGTTGTTTTTTTATTACAGAGTCAGTACCATAATTATAAGAAAAAATAAGACACAATAAAATTTAGATCCAATGAAATATCCTAAGCACTCTATGCATAAAGTGACCACCGTAGCACTGGTTAATCACAAACTATCCTGACATTCTATTGCACAGCCCAAGGTACACAACCACTTTTAAATGGACAGTAACAGCAAAGGGGAAAGCAGCTTTCTCGTTACTTTTCATGACTGGGAAGTAATAGTCATGCAGGTGGAATCTCATATAGCTGTTGAAAGTTTTATATTAGTCTTCAAAATTTCTTAAAGTACGAGGAGCCCATTAAACTGAATAGAAATATCACAACATAAATTTTAAAAGATAACTGAATTTTTTATTAGAAAAAATTAGCAATGGCCAACACTTCAACCCTCTCCCCGCCCCCCCCCCACACACAATCTATCAGCCTAATTTTGTCACCACCTTAGGTTTTAATCCTTTTTAATTTTTCCAAGATTTAAAATTTCATTTTCCTATGCTCTAAAGCAGCGGTTCTCAACCTATGGGTCGCGACCCCTTTGGCGGTCGAATGACCCTTTCACAGGGGTCGCCTAAGACCATCCTGCATATAAAATATTTACATTATGATTCATAACAGTAGCAACATTACAGTTATGAAGTAGCAACGAAAATAATTTTATGGTTGGGTCACAACATAAGGAACTGTATTTAAAGGGCCAGAAGATTGAGAGCCACTGCTAAAGTATCACACATTGAATATATTAAAAAGTAAATTTGAATCCTATTGATATGTTAACATATTTTAAATTACTTTTATTTATTTACAGTTAATGGACAACTTAGAACTCAATCATGCTTTAAAAATCATACTGTAACTTGGAAGGAGCATCTACTCCATTTTCCCTCACTCGAATTTCATGGTTTATTTTTTATTAAACAGCCGCTTGACTATGAGAGCCGAAGACTTTACACTCTGAAGGTGGAAGCAGAAAATACCCACGTGGATCCACGATTTTATTACCTAGGACCATTTAAAGATACAACGATTGTCAAAATCTCTATAGAAGATGTGGACGAGCCTCCCGTTTTTAGCAGATCCTCCTATCTGTTTGAGGTTCACGAAGATATTGAAGTGGGCACAATCATTGGGACTGTAATGGCAAGGGACCCCGATTCGACTTCTAGCACCATTAGGTAATTATGTGTATGTTTAAGATGAACAGAAACAGAATTGAAGTAAATATAGAGGTCGTGAAATTCTATTGAAAGCATTTAATGCACTGAAAGATAAGAGGGCCTCTCAATAAGTTGTACATAACAGTGTCTCTGTTTTGGGGCAGGGCATGCACAAGTTTCATAGTTCCCTTCAGTTCTAACCATGCTCCTGAGACCAAAACGTGTCTTGTATCGTCTGCTTGTTTCTGTAAGGCTTTTGTTGCTCTGATCCTTGGTATAGATAAAGGGCACTATTTTACTATTTCATCTGTATGTTTACAGTGCAACTAAATCACGTTATTTGTGCTTTCAAGTTCTTAAAGAATATGTGAAATTGAGAGGAGCAGTAAGTTAAAATATAATTATAACAGTGTTTCAATACAGTTACATTGTGGTGTTAGAAATTCCCCCATACTCCTGCCATCAAAGCAGAAGTGTTTTTTTGGTTGTTGTTTGGCTTGATCAACAAATATTAGAACATTCCAGGAAGACAAGGGTAATGGCACAGTTTTCTAATCCATTCATCTGCTGATGGGCACTTAGGCTGTTTCCAGATCTTAGCTATGGTAAATTGTGCTGCTATGAACATAGGGGTGCATATATCCTTTCTGATTGGTGTTTCTGTTTTCTTGGGATATATTCCTAGAAGTGGTATTACTGGCTCAAATGGCAGTTCCAGTTTTAGTTTTTTGGAGAAACGCCATACTGTTCTCCACAGTGGCTGCACCAATCTGCATTCCCACCAGCAGTGAAGGAGAGTTCCTTTTTTTCCGCATCCTCTCCAGCACTTGTCGTTTGTTGGTTTGTTGATGATAGACATTCTGACAGGTGTGAGGTGGTATCTCATTGTTGGTGCGGGGGGGAAAGGAGACATATGTACTACTATTTGTAATACTTTAAACAATAAAGAATAAAAATAAACAAATAATAAAAGAGTAAATGGCAGCCGGAAAACATATGAGATGTGATAAATGCAGAAAAATATGAAAGACTCAAAGTTTTCACTATGTCTTGTATCATTTTAAAGAAGTACAGATGTCTATATATAACACTCAGCATCAAAATGACTGCTCACCGTAAACTGTTAGTCTGTCATGTGTTTTGAACTTCCTGTGCTTCCCTAATTCCCAGCAGGCAGATTTTGCTTGCCCCTTGTTCCATGCGGACCCATCACGCAGGAGTTCACATGGCTGGTGGTTTCCACGTGCCCTGTCCTCTGCCTTCTACGTTTGCAGCAGTGGAATCGAGAGAGCCTCTGATTTTATGTGCCCCCTGACTCTGCAAATCTTCAATGAAGTCATACTTTATATATTAACATTACTATTTGATTTATATAATTTACCCAAATATTTTCTTCTTCACATGCAGCATCACAGGTTACATATTGTCAGAAGAAATGTATACATAGTAATCACATAGAACTCCCATCTGCCAGCATCACCTTCCCATAAATGCCTCTTCTCCAATCCATTTATCTTCATTGAAATTGCTGCATTTTTTAATTTTTTTTCCTTTGAAGCTTTTAAATAACCAATATACACATTTAATCTTCCTCTTTAAATACTTACCCAGCATTTTCTTGGCATAGCTCCCAACTGACTTTAACAGGCTGTGCTCTATGTTCCTGATTTTTAAATGACCTTTAAAAAGAAAAGAAATATAATATTTTAAAAGAGTTCAATTTAAATCTAGTTGCATTAACTGGCAAACATAAAGATATTTCTCCACACAATGAAATGGATTTATCATCCTCTTGTTGACTGATAATTATTTTATGTCAAAATATGGCTGTAGACTTTTGAAACAAAAAATAAAATATTTAACCTGGATGCAAGTATGAGGACCAGGAGAAAAGAACCCATTTATGTATCCTATGTGCAATAGAATTAATAACTGTATTGATTATTGACAGAGTCTGTACCATGAAGGTTGTTGTATACTTGAATTTATGCCACCATGATTTAGAAAATGCAAGTAAACATTCTTGAAAGACCATTGAGGTTAAAATTATTTTTAAAGAAATAAAGTAGCTTTATGAATGCAATGTAATTACAGGATGGATAATATGTATATATTATAAATTGTCATATATTATGGATCTTGAAGTAATAATCAAAGGGATTTACTTAAAATGTGTTTTGAAAATGATTTTAAAGAGGAAAAGGAAAATTAACACACAATTTTCCAATAGGTAATTGAAAAATATAATTATATCAAGTTTGAACATGAACCAGGGTCTCTGTATCTTCAAGATAATTTTACATAGCCCTCTAAATTTTGTCATTATTCCTTTAAACTAAACTACAACAAATAATTAAAACAAAATATGCATTATAGATTTGGTGAACAAAATGGTGTTTTATATTGATTTACATATTGCGACTTCATGTCATATTTCTATAGAAATAAGGAACCCTATAATTTGCCATTTATGCCAAAGAATGCAACTAATATTTGTGGATCACCATATCAGATATTAATGTCTTTCTCAAGGAGTTCTTAGTCTGTTAAGGAAGATGATTCAGTATGAGAAATAATATTCACTGAGTGCCTACTAGACACCAAGTAAGATGCTTGGTGTTTTCATGTTTGATTTCCTGTATGAGATGTGAGATGAAATGAATTCCTACTGCAGTGTGTTAAATGACAGGGATGAGTGGTGAACGGTACTTTATGACAGGTGGGGGCAAATAGATTCTACTTCAGGTAATAATGGAACACTCCAAGGAGGAAGTAATGTATGTTGTCTTTCAGAAGTAAAAGAATTTTGTCAACTTGAGATAGAATTTATGAATTATTCCAGATAAAATGACACAATGCTTTGCTTTATTTGTAAGTGGTAAGAAGTTTAGTTTGAATATGAAACTGAATTCATATTATGTTAATAGAAAAAATGCTAGAATTTACTAAGGAGATTTATAAATTACTGGTATGTTCTATTTAGAACTGATTTAAATAAATTTTCATTGATTTTGGTAAATATACAATTTTGAGACACTACAAGGGAAGAGTTTTATGGCATCATTTAATTATTTGTATTATTACTTACAGAACACACTTTAAAACAATATTTCATTAATTTTTCCTTAAAATAAATGAGTTATGGCTTAGGAAAAGATATACCATAACTCAATATTACTCCTCATCTTGTCATCTTTGTTTTGTTTTGCCTTTTTTAAATATACAGTATTAAATATAACTGGAGGATCATGCTTGTTAATTTAAGAACTGTGAAACATTTGTAAGCCACTACATTTGTGAAGTGGCAGCAACCGATGAGGGATAAAGCTGTTTTAAACCTTGACCTACAAACCAAAAAAATAATGCGATTATCCAAAGTACATCTACCTGATTGATAAACCTGCTGTTTGGCTCTAGAATGATATCCAACACAATTCCGTTAGTCAATTTGCAGAATACATATACTAAGGCTTCATTTGATATAAATCTATAAAAACTTCTATCCCAAACTTTTCTGTTTTTAAAACATCTCTGGTTAATATGTATACATCTTTCAATGATACATTTGGTGAAGAAACTGAAGCTACATAGGTAATCAGTCCATGAACTAAAAGAAAAAAATCATAAATTGTTGAACTACTACTGTGAGGAAACTAATATTGTCTCCAATTTTCTGACTAAGAAAATGATTTTGCTTCTGGGAATGGTCTGTTGCATTGGCTCCTTATGGTAATTCCTCAATAGAATTCTCAATAATTAGATAAAGTCAGTTGATAATGTTACCATATGCAATACCAGCAGCTGTTTTGTTGGGAAATACATCAAGGCCAGTTGAATATGGAAATAGATAATGATAATAACAAAATTTAGAAGAATAGAACTAGGATGCAGAACAATTTGCCAATGCATGCATTGGGAAGAGGTGTGTGTGTGTGTGTGTGTGTGTGTGTGTGTGTGTGTGTGTGATAAATTGATAAAATAATCTGTGTTCTAGATCAATACTATTCCTGAAATTATTATATATCCCTACATGTGTGTCTTTGCATTTTACCATTTTACCCTACAAACCATCAGTGACACTGCCACCTATTTTTCTTGGCCCTCTATGTTCAGATTTTCCTTGGATCGTCATACTGACCTTGACAGGATCTTCAATATACATTCTGGAAATGGATCCCTTTATATATCAAAGCCACTTGACCGTGAACTATCTCAATGGCACAATCTTACCGTTATAGCTGCTGAAATCAGTAAGATAAATTTCATGAGTACAATATTTAATATATATTTTTAGTTTTAATTTCATATTGAACATAATTTATTTATATTTTAATCTAAGTTTTTAAAAAGTTTCTGAATGCCTATAATTTTCTCAATCGTTTTTATATATACTAAGTAATAGCTGTGGGTCTAGATAAATCGGCATTTTATATTAATTAAATAAAAATCTATAATTGGGAATTAAAGATAGTCTCTGTTGGGGAAATAATATGTATTAGATGTGTTTCATGGACACTATGAATTAGAATCTGTGCTAGATATTGGATGTATATCATTTAATTTTAACAACAAACATGCAGGTAGATACTTTCTTTTTACAAATAAGGACACCAAAGTAATTGTAATAATACTAACAAACACTCTGTGCCAGGTATTAGTCTAAGGATTTTAAATTAATTTTCTCTTAATATTTTTATTGACCTTATTCAACAGAGAAGGAAATATGTTTCCAAGGGTTTTAGGAACTTGCCTAATGCCAGAAGTGTGCGGGGGCCTCACAGTGTTAACTAGACATGGAAACAGCAAAGCATTAAAATAAGTTTGTGGCCCTCTGAGTGTGAGACACTGAACAATTGTGCATGCCCATGAAACCAGCTCTGTCCACACATGTAAACCCGCTCATGGTTTCTGAATCCTGTACTATGATGTACATGAAGTAGAGCAACACCTTAACTTCCTTAAAAGCCACTCTAATGAGGGTCCTAATCATTGTAAAAAAAATGAGCCTATAAATTCCATGTCTGAAATACCACGCTGAATCTACAAACATATACCAAGGTCAAGGTATTTTAAATATCCATTCCAGGATTTGGAAGGCAGAACCAAGTGTCTCAGAAATGTGGAACTAGGCCAGATAGATCATCAGCAATGAGTGCAAAGCATCAAGATAATAGATTCAGCTCTCTCCTTGAATCTGGCTCAGATATATGGGTTAACGTAATGATCCATTGTTTCCATAGTGAGTTATAAATGGCTGTTCCTTTTAAGGCTAACCGAAGTTTTTTTTTTTTTAGTTTTTCTTTAAAGAAAGCTTTTATTTCTATATTTGTCTCCATGTCACCATGGTTAGAAGCACCTGATAGGATCCAATCTGGTCATTCCAGATCCATGTTTGTTTGTCTCTCTGTTGCTTCAAGATCCTTCTTCAAGCCAGTGAGCTAGAAATTGCATTTTCCATTTCAGATACTGTGAGAAATTTAACTTCCAAAGCTAGTTGAAGTAATTATGATTCTGTAAAAGGCTAAGCCAATTACATTCTTCTTTTTAAAAACTAAACTTATTTCTTTCCCTTAAATGGATCAATCTATGGAGAAACTGCTGGGAATGTCTACCTGCCAAACCACAAGTAGTCAAAGGCCCATTATGCTGTTCCGGTTATTAATGGGAATGGGGGTAAGAGGGAAACAGCACACAGGAAATTGTTTTCACTAGATTTTAAACACTGGGCTTATGATAACCATGTCATACACCAAGCCCTAAGCAGGGCAGAATGACATATAAATGTACTTCTTACCAATGTGTTTCCCGGCCCTTTCTCTAACCATTTAATTCTACAGTCCAGAGCAGTATATCTCATCATATGGCAAGTGCTACTTCAGGTAATTATTTAGTGCAGTATACCATGAATAACTTATCTGCTTCTTTAAAAACTCATTTTAGATACCATGTGAAGAATAAAAATCCTAAAATTAAGGTCACAATTAGGGATCGTAGGACACATCACTGTAGAGACCCATGAGTTCCTCCACCACATCTGAAATTTTAACTATAATCATTGCAATTCGTTCTGAGGACAGCGGAGTAAAGTTTATGCTGGAGGACTGACTTCTTACCTATACCTAGTTCCTTATTAGTGAAAAGCCTTGCCCTAAGCAGATAGAAAAGATGCATCTCTCTAAAGCCTGAGATTTCTCGATAATGATAATGATTTGATTTCCTCTTCTGAGAGATGTGGAAAAGCCTGTGGATACATAGGCACAAATTCATCTTTGGACAGAATTTTAAGATTCTTGACTGCTGATACATTCTTGCTACAACAGACTGCCTTGATGACTGAGAGAGACTCAGGTGGTAAATGCATGCCACTACTCTTCAGTGTGCTGCTTCCTCGGAATGCTTAATACTTTTACTTATACAGAGGCTGCAGCATACGCCAGTAAAAAGGATCAGTGCAAGCACTTTTTAGAATAGGCGACTCCAGGCTTGATGCTTTACAAAGCACATTTCCCCTGTGGATTTAGCTTTTCATTGGAAGAGCCTTGAGTTCTTTGAAAAGAGCCCAGAGAGTCTCTACCTACAGGGGGTGGGAAAAGTAGGCTCACAGCTGTGAGCACAGAGAACACCAAGTTTATTCTTGTATTTTTTTATTAATTAATTATTGTGTGACTTATTTGTATTGCAACTGTAAAGGTACCTTTGTCCACACCTGAATTGTTAGAGAGGAAACTGACATAATAGTGCAGTTTTTTAGATACGAGACTTTCTCTTTCTCTTGACTCTGTGGCATAGTTAGAAAGTGAATTGCTACCCACAAAAGATTTATTTTTAGGTCAAGACTTTGAAAGAAAAATATAGCTATGTCCACTAGCTATGAAAGTAGTTTAACGAGCATGTTCTAGAAAACATGGAAGAATCACCCCTTCTCATTCTTTCAAGTAACTTTAGAGAGTTGAGGGTTCATATGCAGGTGAGCACTGTGCCTCTGGGTGTTAACAAATGGTCTAGATAGAAGCAGGAGAGGTGGAGAGTAGTTGAAAAACATTTTTCTCCTCTCTTCACTTTTCCCCACAGGTGCCCTCTTCAGACCCACATGAATTGTAGGAAAGCTAGTTAACAGGTTTTATTGTGTGGATGCTTTGTATGGAGAAAGAACTTAAGCTCTTAAGTAATGTAAGGAAATGAAGAAGATATGACCGTGATAACAGGGACAATCTTAATAATAATAGTCAATACCAACAAACTGAAACTCTGCTTAGAAGTTTCGTGCATTAACACATCTAATTTTTCAAAAAGCTCTACAAGAAGTTCTATTTTGATTCCTGTTGAGTAAACTGAGGCATTAGAGAGATGGAATAAATTGACCAGAGTCACACAGGAAATGAGTGGTGGACATGGGAATCAAAGCAACCCTCTGTTGGGCCCCAGGTTCTGAACTCTTTAATCACCCGACACAGTGAGAAGTAAAATATGTAGCAATAGATTAGATGAAACCAGAATCTGAGAACTGAACACAAGTGGGTTAAGAAGACTGAGGTAAGACTGAGTGTTAAAGAAGGCAGGCCTTTGAAAAGTTCTCTTGAAATAAGAAGGAAAGTAAATAAACTTCAACATGGATTTAGCATTCAGCCTGCCTGCCTTCATACTATTTCAGCCTTGTAAATGTCCCTGCTGAGTAATCAGTTCTTACCCAATATTTTAAAAAAGTGCTAATCTCTTTATTTTAGCAACATTATAATTACATGGAGAGAAGAGAGAAGAAATACATTCTTTTGAATAGTGACACACTCCCTATTTGCCCATGACAATATATTTACCCTTGTACCTAAAAATTATTTAGATAAAATTAGAAAGTCAGATAATCTAATTTCACTCATAACGCATGTTAATAGAGGCCATTAAATAAGATTGCTGCTGTCCCTCAGCTCATCTGCTCTTTGTATGTTTGTTTGCTTTGTTTTTAGCTAATTATCTCTCCTTTTATATTGATCTTCAGCTTGAGTTCACCAAAGTTCACACAGAATTTGAACCATATCCAAAGACTGAGATTTTGATATCACAAAGGTTGATGAATATAACCTGAATTTAAAATGTCAAAACGCTCTCAGATATCAGTACCTAGAAAATATCTATAGTGAAGATAATGTAATTATAATTGATATTAGGTTATTAACCAAGGCTAAGCTTAATAAACATTTCTATTGTAAAATTCCATTTTTTGGAACAATTTTCAAATGCATGTTTTTTATGTGAAAATGTTGATGCTCTTGATTTTAGCATTTGTAGCAAAATAATAATAATTACAATACTGTATGTTACTACTGAGCTAATTTTGTTACACAGAATTGTGCCTAGATTGTTGAAATAGTACTAGTAATAATTATATTAATAAAATAAATTTCATTGTAAATTTCTATCTAATTTGTAAAATTAGTAGCTATATATCAAAATTTCCAAAAGGAGAGTTGAGAATAGCTATTGGAATACATCTTAGTAATAAAAGTAGACAGGTAAGTTGTAATATAATAGCTACCACTTAGGAGCTAATAACTTTGGGGGCAGTACTAATTTATTAAAAACTACTTCTTCAACTAAAAAAATCAGGAAAGATTAAGTAATATAATGATGTCTAATAAAGCTTTATTAAATATTTGTTATATATATATACACATTATATATATATATATATATTTGGATGGCAAACCATATATATATATAAACTCAATTACACTGCATTGTGCTTTTAAAAAGTATTTTCCAAAATAATAGTACACTTGAGCCCAATAATAACTGAATTCATGACCATATAATTAGGCTCTTAGTAATTGTCTTTATTGCATTTGCTCATTATGCTAGTAGAATTGCCCCGATGCTTATTTGTGTGTGAGCACTTAATCCACAGATGCTTATATAAATAAATATAGTGCAAACTGTGTCTTTCTAAACAAATGTTTCTTTCCCTTTTCTAGATAATCCCAAAGAGATGACCCGTGTGGCTGTTTTTGTGAGAATCTTGGATGTTAATGACAATGCCCCACAATTTGCTGTCTTCTATGACACTTTTGTGTGTGAAAATGCCAGACCAGGCCAGGTGAGTACTCCTAGGGTTTAAGCATAGGAAGATTTTTAACGGCATGATTACATGTTTTCTTTTCCCAATCTTGAGAGGAATGAGAAAGTGGAGATTAAAAAAAACACTCATTTAAAGTGCCAGTAATATAATTAAAAACAAACAAATGCTGATGTTTTTAAGGTTGAAGATGTTATAAATAACAGTAAATTTCTAATGTATACAAGATGTTATCATTCCCACAAAAGTTAAGTTGTAAGAGTAAATAACTTTAGATTCTTAAAAGTTCAATAACAAAAACAGATTAAAAAGCAAACAAAGGAAAACCTCTGATATTCCATTAGATAAATATTGAAAACTGATAGAGAGATGGGAAATAAAAGTTGGGAAAAACACAGACAAATGCATGGGATTGGCAAAACATTTCATCAACTTTTCAATGTCTGCAAACACGGTTTTGAAGTGGGGCTGCGGAATTTTCTCCTTACCTTTGCACTTGCATTTCATCATGATAACAACACATAAACTGCTTAATGACTTAGTTTTCACCCTTTAAAACATTCTTCCTGCATCAGCTTTGTTTATAACTCTTTATGCCTTGTCCTCAGTGGACTCATTTTGTTCTTTGAAAAGCTCCAGCATATATGGCTGGAAGAAATGCTCTTAATTGGTTTAAGTGCTATCTTCACAGAAGGAAGCTGCATGTTATAAATAATAATTGGGCATCAAATTTGTTTCACTAAAGAAAGAGGAACCATCATAGAACTATATGGTGTTTTGACATCATTTGATGCTCTTTATAGACATCAATGCCATGGTTATATTTTTATGTAAATTATTTTGTGGAATAACTGAGATACTTCCTTCTGAAGATTGTAATAGGGATTCAATAGCCTGTGTATTGTTTGAAATGGTAAATTGTTCAATATGATTTCTTTTTTCAATTTGAAAGCATTATGGAAATGTGTAATTTGAAATATTTAAGTGACTTAGCTACTTCCGACCTACTTCTTAGTGAAACAGTGTGTGCCCTAAAATACCATTCCAAATAGTCCTCTGCTTGCGAGGCTCAGCATGATATAAGTTGAAGCTTTTTCTCTAATAGATAAAATACCCACTTAGCAATTGCTGCAGACATTGCTTCCTCTATGGTTATTTTATTTGATTTGCAAGAGATATCTTTTCAGAATATTTGAGTCATTATAAGTACTTATTTACAAATGTGTTCAAAGTATACAGATCAACTGTATACAAATTGCTTTCTTTCTTTTTTAAAAATATATTTTATTGATTTTTTACAGAGAGGAAGGGAGAGGGATAGAAAGTTAGAAACATCGATGAGAGAAACATCGATCAGCTGCCTCCTGCACACTCCCTACTGGGGATGTGCCTGCAACCAAGGTACATGCCCTTGACCAGAATTGAACCTGGAACCCTTGAGTCCACAGGCTGACGCTCTATCCACTGAGCCAAACCGGTTAGGACCCAATTGCTTTCTTTTTCCATTTTTTGACTTTATCTAGCTCAGTGACCTTATATTTTTGGACTTTTAAATAGCAATTGGTATAGAGAAGGAAAATATAATCAAATCAAAGATGATTTTAATAAAAAGTAAGTTAGCCAATTTTTATGAACATGATAGGAACAGCATGATTAATAAATTTTGTCTGATTGGCTGCATGTGTAATAGTCTCTCATGGCAGTTATTTATATTTTTTTATTTTTAAGATTTTTTACAATTAATCTTTAGAGAGATAGATAGAAAGGGACACAGAGAGAGAAACATCGATGTGAGAGTGAAACATCAGTCAACTGCCTCCTACACACGCCCTACTGGGGATCGAACCCACAACCCTGATATGTGCCCCAACCAGAAATTGAACTGGCAGCCTGTTGGTGCCTGGGATGACACCCAACCAACTGAGCCACACCGACCAGGGCTCATGGCAGTTATTTTTAATAAGACCAGTTTAGTAGATGTCATTTTGGTCTCATAGACTTAAACATTGTTGCTTAAACTAAACTGTTAGATATTCTATGATGGAATTCTAGGTTATGACATCCCAGCAGGAAAAAATCAAAAGATTATTTGGTAAAGTCCTTCTTCACTGATCCTTCCTTGAAATTCATTTGTTAACTTTGTCTTTTATCTTCCAAAGAAGTAAGAGCTATGTTAGGACTTCTGTATTTATGGAGTATTTCAATCCACTCAATACTCCTCTGAAGTAAGTGTTCCTTAAGAGGAACATTTAGAACAACAACATGGGAAATAATTTCATTCATTTGGTGTTTGGACAAAATGAGGAGACAAAAATAAAGCTAATTGCCACCTGCAACCACTTTCTTGCCTATTCCTTGCTGGAAGGGTAGAAACCTATCCCCTGCCCTCCAGCCTGGGAAATGATATAGCTTAGAATTGATGTAGTATTAATATTTAATATTCCCTTCTTTTTTCTGAACTAGGCCACTTGATTTTCCTTTTTTTTCCATCTCCAAAACAGGGTAGGAACCTTAGGAGAGAGGAGAAGAGAGGACATGCTGTTTTTCTTTTTATATATTTTTTCCTCACACTTTCAGTCAATTAACATATTTTAACAATTTTTAATCTCTATGGGAAGGAAATAGCATTTCAATCTCATAGGAGAATTCCCAGGGAGGAGTGCTGCTTACATTACCCATCAATAGTATCTAAACTCCAGGCCCTCTCAAACCCAAAATATCATACATGTATAGTTTAAACAATGTTTAGTTCCTTCCCTAACAACTGAAAAAGTATCTGTATACTAGAACAAAGGCAGTTTTTTCATCAACAGAAATTGATACCATTGTAATTAGCTTGTTATTAATAATAACAAAGGGGCAAAGGAGGCCAGTCATTATAAGTGTGGCCATTTGGGCAGCTTCACCAGGAAGCTGCAATTTCACTCCTCGGGGAATCACCTGCCCATTCCCTGCAGATCACTGGGGGAAGGGACTGGACAAAGGGGAAGATAGATGCATGTACAGTAAAGTTGGGGATGCAGGGAAGATGATGCTTGTCAGTCATACCTGGGGACAGAGATCATTGGCTAGAGGGGGCAGGGCCAATGAAAGCCCCCCAAATAATCCCCTAGTCTCTGTGTGGCTCTTGGCCATTGGTGCTCTTATGGCTCTCTTGCACTTGCCCATGACCCCCGACCATGCAGACCCCACAAGCAATGGGCTGATGGACTGCAGTGGGGAACACAAACTGACCTAGTCTGATGCTGGACTAGACCTGTGTGTGCTCCAACATGGAGTGGAAACTCAAGACATTGGTTTTGATCTAGTTCTGTGGAAGCCACAGCTATACTTCTATGGTGAACTGAGGGAAATGAAACTTTGGAAACTCAGAGTGTAATTCCTCAGAAATAAAGCTTTCTACAATATCTCATCCTCCATGGGGGCCTCAAGAGCTTCTCATTCCAGTGGCACCCCAAGAACCCCATGTCCACAGACAACAAAAAATATCAGTCTTTCCAAATTAAAATGTAGTGACCAGTTTTCTAACTTTAAACATCTTAAAATCCATTCATCATCCTACACTCCATTATAGTTTGATCACTACAATACCTTGCAAGTTGATTTAAGGTTATTTTAGAATAGCCCAGTGAAAATGTAAACAAGTTATATAACTGGTAAGGAGATAAAATATAAGTGACGTATCTGTGTCTGTTTTTCAAGTGCTTAAAATGAATACTAGACATCATTAGAATATTTCCCCTAATTGTGGCAACCTCGTTTTTTGAAAGTGGGTCAAAATGAATTTATCATCAGTGGAAATAAAATAGTGAGTGTTAGATAGAGAAAGAGAAAATAGTTTTATCTGCTTCTTGTTGCCAACTTCTGATTTCTATCACAATACTTTATGGTAATATACCAAAACAAAATATTGTGATTTTTCAATGTATGACTGGAAAAGTAAAGGAAGACTAGATTTAAAAGTAAATGCTGGATATGGAGAAGTTGGACACTAGAAGCCAAGTTGTGTCTCAAAGAAAAAAAAAGTGAAAAGGAAGTACGTGCTTCCATCTGCAATAGAGGAGTATTGGGGTCATAAAAATATATTGTAATTTGATATAAATTTCTGACATGTGATTCTATCTTATTTGTGTTGTTAATATGAGCTTCACTTATTTCCTTCATAGCATTTAATGAAGATGTACCAGTGAACCACTGATTTTAAAATCTACAATGCTACTATGTTTTATTACAATAATACATTTTAATTTAGAATTCTTAAGTAAATGTTTGTAATTTCTTACAGATACATGTAAAAATGTGGCTGTTTTTTATTCTCTGAAATATATTATTTTGGTCCATAAATGTGAGACATCATAGTTTTTATTTTAAAAGATCATTAGCTCTACTTTCACATTCTCTGTGTGTTAACCTATTAATCTTAGTGACTTTTTATTAGTCTATATTTCTTGATATGTTATTTCATTTATGTCAATTTTTCCTAACCTACTTTTTAGTATAAATCATGTTAAAAGCAATGACATAATTATAATTTAAGGTGGAAATTTTTCTACTTTGTTAGCAGGTAGATTCTTCTGTTGTCTCTTATTGCAGAAAAACCAGAGTTGGCCCTCATAATATAACCATTCCCCATAGTATGTATATGTTGAATTTTAAAAACATACAATTTTATAGACAGTATAGATGTAGTGAACTGTTACTATTAAAGTAGTTAATAAAATGTTTGTGCTTCTTTTTTTAAAAAGTTGTATCATGTTGTCTATAAAATCTCTACATTTTTAATAGCTTTTGATTTACATTGATGAGGAGGAAAGTCATAACCAAAATAAATTTAAAAATATGTTCCTACATTAGATATATCTTTCCAGACCAATGTTTAAATATATATGAAATAACTTACTTCAAATCCTATGTCTAATTGATAAAATTGCCAAGAATGTAATATTACCATGTGTTATTTTTAAGGAATGGATAATATTTAAGAAAATTTGAGAGGGAGAGAGAAAAAAAGATAGAGACTTTGTTAAAAATAAAAGTAATAATAAAAATGATGAAATAATTCAAATAAAGATAAATGCATGAGAAAGAAAGTCAATTGTCTTTAAAATATTTTAGACAAAATTGGATGTCAAAAAATTACGTAGTATAAGGCATATAAAACCCATGGAAGTTTGAGAAATATGCATTTTTCTCTCTTTTTTTTGCAGCTCATACAGACTATTAGTGCAGTAGACAAAGACGACCCTTTAGGTGGACAAAAATTTTTCTTCAGTTTAGCTGCTGTCAATCCAAACTTCACAGTACAGGACAATGAAGGTAAATTGTAGAATGTGATCTATTCATTGTGATTTAGGGTGACATTAACAAAAAATTTCACCCAAAGTAACAGTAACTATATACATGATGTATTAGCTTATTGATCTGGATTAAAAAATTTTGTTTTTATCAGATATTTCTTTACTCTCTTAAATTTTATAATAATGAAATATGTGAAAAAGTCTCTATATGAGTCTTAATTAAAAAATTGAATCTTGAAAACAATAGAAAGACTGGAAATAATTAGTTCCCTTAATAAAAAGGGCAGGACACAATAAGAGGAATGAGAAGAAAGAGAAATAACCTTAACTTGTCATTGATCATCTTCCTCCTGCACACCTCATATGGGAATTGAACCATGACCTGGTTTATAGGCCAATGCTCAACCACTGAGCCACACCAGCTTGGCGTTGTGAAGGGATTGAATGCAAAAGTGTAATTGCAAGAGCAAGATATACTGTTCTCCTGCATAACACATGAATTGTATAATGTCTCTGTGGTCAAAAATACTGAAATTAATTTTGCATTCTCAAAAACATTAGAAACATATTTTAGAAGAAGAGGATGTGCTAATGGGTACTATTTTTACAAAAAAGGTATACAGCTTTTTTTTTGAGAATATGTATGGTAATTGGCCGAGTCTAAATACAAGTATGTAATTAGAACTTTTCTTTCCGTCATAAATCTGTTAAACTAATTACAGGAAAAGGGAGGGGTTTAAGAAAGGTCAGCATCCCACTACCTACTTTTTCCTGTATGTCTATTAGACACTAGACATTGTCTTTGAGCTACACTAATACTTTGAGTTATGCAGTATATTCATTTTAATGGGTGGAAATCAAAATTCAAAAATATTGATTGGGACTCATAAACTTATTGACTACATTGTTGATTTTAAAAGTGCAACTGTTCTGAAATTTTATCCAATCTTATTTCTGCATGAGTATTGAATTAATGTGTTGTGTGTGTGTGTAGACTTACATGCTCATTTGTAAATAAGAAACATTTACTAAGATTTTTTGTTTGCTTGGTATGCTTAATATTTGTTTCTGAAAACTATGCTATCACCTATGTAGTCTTGATAAATGATTCACTTACAAAAATTCACCGTTTTGAAAACATCTGCGAATCAGTTGAAAATCTAATATATAAACAATCATAGTATTGGATTCCTCAAACTACTTTATCTTATATTTGTATTTTAATTGCATTGCATACAATTTATAAGAAAATTGACGTTAGTTTTATATTTCCCATAAACATTAGTTTATTTATATGTTAAAACCATGGTGATCAGGATGATCTGTTTTTACTGTTCCAAGTCTTTTGTAATATTTTAACATTTACTTTAGATAATACTGCCAGAATTCTAACCAGAAAAAATGGATTCAATAGACATGAAATAAGCACCTATCTCTTGCCGGTGGTGATCTCAGACAACGATTACCCAATTCAGAGCAGCACGGGCACGCTGACCATCCGCGTGTGCGCATGCGACGGCCAGGGCAACATGCAGTCCTGCAGCGCCGAGGCCCTGCTGCTCCCCGCCGGCCTCAGCACCGGCGCCCTGATCGCCATCCTCCTCTGCATCATCATCCTGCTGGGTAAGAGGCTGCAGAGAACTTCGATTGCTTACTTTAATATACTTGCAAGCAAGAAATGTTGCTATTAAAATACATTCCCCAAACTAACCCCAATGTTTTAGATATGAATTATCCAGGGAATATTGCTTATATTAATATATTTTATCTGATCAGAGTTATTACCGTCCTTTGTTTTTTTTAATAATGAAACTGAAAATTAGAGATGTTCAAAACGTTTTCTAAGGTTACACCGTTTCTGAGTGGCTGAACCAAGGCAAGGCTATGGGTTAGTCACTGTATGTATAATTTTTTAGTACATCTAAAGTTTATTTCCACCTTTTTTATGGCTGGATGGAGGTCTCACTATCTTACCTCTTCACTGAAATAATGTTCAAATAGTCCTTTTTACCTGGTTCACTTGTTCATAAAAAAACATACTGGATTTTATAACCTAGAGCAAATTGATTTTTAACTGCTTTTGAATTAAGAATCAGGTTTAAATTACTCTGTAATTGCATTATCTTAAAACTATGTGAGTATTTCTGTGTCCCTAATCAAAAACACTGTACAACACTGTACCTGATATTTTAAGAAGCAGTGAAATGAAGTTGGATTTTGGAGCCAATCTTAGTAAGTATTAGAACCTTTTTTTTTTGTTTTTGTTTTTTTTTGCTGGGTAAGATTATTTGGTTGATAAACAACCTGAAGTTTAAATTTTTTAAGTCAAAATTCATGCGTGTGTATGAATACATAAATTTGGGAAAAATAAATGTCATATTTTCTCCCAAACTTGAAGAATAAATATCTTTGTTCTCTAGGAAGTGTCCTAATTTTTTAATCACTTTGAAGGTCAAAAATGTTTATCAATGGATTAAGTTTTTCTTTTTTGTTGCATTAAAAAAAGTCTCCTGTTTGCCCTCTTACATACGCTTAAAGGCAAGTAGTCTGACATTCTATGTCAACAAGAGAAAACATAACTTAATCCCACTTCAAAAATACTATAATTGTCTTTGTCAGTTTGGACTGCTATAACAAAACACCGTGACTGATAGCTTAAATCACAGAAATTTAATCCTTACAGTTCTGAAGGCTAAAATCCAAGTTCAAGGCACTGGCAGGTTCTGTGTTTGGTTGAGGGCATACTTCCTACTTTGCAGATGATTATCTCTTCACGTGGCAGAAAGCAATGATCTCACCTAATCTAATCCCACTCATGAGCGCTTCACTCCTGTGACTCAGTTACCTCCAAATCCCATCACATTGGGGGTTTAGGCTTTAAAATGCATTCGGAGAGGACACATTCAGTTCATAACTAATAAAGTCCATATTCTTTAAATCTTTGTTATAAGAAGCTAAATACAAAGATATTTCTTCATACATATGCCTGGTAACATATGTATCTTCCCTTTCCTCATCTAATTGAATTTACCTCTGTTTCTTCAAATCTTCATTTTAAAGGATCATGACCAAATTGAGGATGGGAAACTAATACAACCAGACGGAATTTGGTATTATCTATATTCAACTTTTATGCTATTATTACTTGTATGATTTAAATTATTATTATTCATACCTTGTTCTGGAACTAGGGATACACATTGAGTGATACACATTTCTACTTGTGGACTACACTTAAGATGCATCTAGCCAAGGTTTTTGTAGTTAATTCAATGTATTCTTTCTTGCCATCATGTGATCCAACAATTATTTTTGATCTCATGTGTGATATATATTTCCATGGAAAACTTCATAATTTCTAATGATGTCTAAGTAATGTGGCCATTTTCCCCCCCATAGCAATTAAGGTCTTTTTTTACAATGTAAGAAAAAAAAATCTATGCAAATCCATCAGTAAAGCTATTTAACAGAAACCAGTACTCCATATCTTGTGAAAAATGCTGCCTTTAAAAAATTTTTTTATTGGTTTCAGAGAGAGGAAAGGAGAGGGAGAGAGAGAAACATCAATGATGAGGGAGAATCATCCATTGGCTGCCTCCTCCATGCCCCCTACTGGGGATCAAGCCCACAAGCCCTTCACATGTGCCCTGACTGGGATTCAAACCATGACCTTCTGGTTCATGGATCGATGCTCAACTACTGAGCCACACTGGCCGGGCAATGCTGCCTTTTTTTAATAATGTATGAGTATGTGAAAAACGTAGACATATTTTTGCCCTTCTTAATTGTTTCATTTTAAGCTGAATTTAATGTGTGTCAATTTTAAAAATATAACATCTATGTCACTGTTTAATGCAAAGTATAAATAATGTCTCTACAATCAAGAACTATCTTTAAACAGTTCTTAGCAAGATAAAATAAGCCACTGGATTTGGGAAATTGTTTTAAAAATAAGTTAGACACTTAAACTCTACCCATCCTAGCTAAATCCGTTAATACCCTCCCCCAACCCCTCCACCCCCGCAAAAGAAAAAAATGATCAAAAAGTACAAAATTAATCTTAAATTCTAACCTGTCCTGGAAAACCCATTACTTAAACTCCTTTGTATTCCTACCACTCGTTCTGTACATGGTGTTGTAGCTGGATCTTTAATATATCTTTTTTTTTTCTCTCCAAGTGATAGTAGTACTGTTTGCAGCTCTGAAAAGACAGCGGAAAAAAGAACCTCTGATCTTGTCTAAAGAAGACATCAGAGACAACATCGTGAGCTACAACGACGAGGGGGGCGGAGAGGAGGACACCCAGGCCTTTGATATCGGCACCCTGAGGAACCCCGCAGCCATCGAGGAGAAGAAGCTGCGGCGAGATATTATTCCGGAGACTTTATTCATACCCCGAAGGACTCCCACGGCGCCAGACAACACGGATGTGCGGGATTTCATCAATGAACGGCTGAAGGAGCATGATCTCGACCCCACCGCGCCTCCCTACGACTCGCTGGCCACCTATGCCTACGAAGGGAACGACTCCGTGGCGGAATCTCTGAGTTCCTTGGAGTCAGGTACCACTGATGGAGACCAAAACTATGATTTCCTCCGGGAATGGGGCCCTCGGTTCAACAAGCTGGCGGAGATGTATGGTGGCGGGGAAAGCGACAAAGACTCCTAACCTAGGGTATATATTCTGCTCAAACAAGAGGAAGGCACTTGGCCAACACCGTCTCCACTTCACAATATTCGACATCCAGGAGGATTTTCCTGCCACTCAGCACAATTTTTTCCCCATTTGCTTTTTAAATTTGTTCGTTAATCACATTAATTCTTTCCTGTAGGATGTCTCATGGAATATATACGGCATTTTATTTAATCACTTCCAAGAGCCAAAGCTATGGAAATTCAGTGGTGTCCATTTTAGAAATAAAAGATAATTTCAGAACCGTGAACAGGAATAGTTCTCCCTTAAGCAACCTCACAAACAAGCCGCTTCTGTTAGATACATGCCCTGCCCTTGCAAATGAAGCTTTTAAAAAAGGTGAAGACAAATTTTAAGGTATATCCTGTTCTGTACATTAAATTAAATGTACATGTGGTGTTAGTAGGTGTGATATGCAACCTGGTATACAAAACGTTTGTGCAATTTCATTTCATCAAATTCTATCTGCTAATGTTTTATATTTATATTTTTGTATTTATTTTTAAAAAATAAACCAGTTTTTACAACTACATTGTCTCCAGCTTCTTTTTTTCCCTAGGAAGAAAAGGTTTCCCATGGGCTAAATATCTTGGTATAGAATTTCATGGAACACAGGTAAGAACACAAAGTCATTATCATTGCTGTTTAGAGCTCTGACCAAATTAATATGATGTAGGTAAGGATCCTTTTTCCATTGAGTTTTGTTATGCCGAGATATGTGAATTAAAAGTAATAATCATTTCTAGACCATTTAAAAAATTCCCATGTAAGCAAATTTAGAACATGGACATCCTTATGCTGAATATTCCAAAATGCCTGCAACGTACTTACTTTGTTTTGTACATATTCACTAAAATAATGTCTGAAAGATTAAAACATTTATTTTTGTATGACATTTTTGCTATTGAGGTTCATAGGCAACAGAGTTCAGATGGATTTCAGACTGAAATAATCCTTTAATGGAAAATATATTCACCTCCCACGGTGACTTTGAAAATGCCTAGTAATGAGAGTAATAATGCTGAATATTCCAGTAAGAGAGAGCATTGTAATTATATCATATTTTCAAAAATACATTGCATATTTGTTTATTTGCAAAAAGTCTATTTTTGTGTCAATGAATGATTTACTATAAAGCAAACAATAACAACAAAAGTCAAACTGGCAGTTAATTATTCGGAGATCCTGAGATCTTAAGGCCAACTGATTCTAACTTATCCCTTCTTTCACATGCTCCAAACATGTTCATTTATAAATCATTTGGGACCATTTTGCTGGACCTACACTAAGAAGTCGCTTTAAGAAGTCTCATTCCCTGCTAAGTATATCGTAAACAATACCAAGGATTCATGTTCTCTCTAATTAGTGAGACTGCTATGCTTCTGGAGTGAGTCAGAGTGCAATATTGACATATCCTTAATGCAGAATTAATTATTTCCATCTCCTTGAATGATTTTCTTTCTCCTAACTTCCAGGCTGAAAAGATACACATCCCTCTGACTACAGACATGTGAGTTTGCATAGTAATCTAATTATGAAAGAAAACCTATGTGGTATTAGTTAAAATTACAGTCACACTTTAAGTCTAAGCGGCACTTTAGATCATAGTAAAGCCTAAGTTGGTTTATTTCCTATATTCCAAGAACCTATTTATGTACCCAGAAGGCTGGCTGTAAAAAGCTCAAAGTTTAAGGAAAAATAAAGGTTTGATTATATATATTGAACTGAAGGAAGATAAAACCCTCAATATCCTATTAGGATTATCCATTCAAATAAAGTCAGCAAAAAATAAAAAAGATAAAAGAGGGTATATATTTTGAGCATTTCACATTAGTTATGATGCAAAATATCATACTCATTTGATTGAAAATTAGTTTTTAAGTTTCCAGCATTAGCTATTTTTACTGATATTAGATGTCAATAATTAAAGTTCTTATTTGAATATTTTAATTATCTACACTAATAAAAAACAAACATGCAAATTGACTGTACCTTCACTATGCCTTAAGCCATGCCCACCAGACAATCAGAGTGACTATATGCAAATTAACCCAACCAAGATGGCGGCCAGCAGCCATGGAGCTGGAACAAGCAGGAGGCTTGGTTGCCTCAGTGATGGAGGAAGCCAAGCTTCCCGCCCACCCTGGCCCTGAGCTCCACTCAGGGCTACAAAGTTTCAATTATAGAAGGTAAATAAATCCCAGAATAAAAAAAGAAAAAAGAAGAAAAGGAGAGGCTGGGAGCTTCGGTCGCTGGGGGGCTTGGCCAGCCTGAAATGGCCCTCAGCCCTTCACGCAGACTGGCCAGGCACCCCAGTGGGGACCCCCCACCCTAAAGGGGGTGTGGCCAGCCTGTAAACAGCCATCAGCCCCTCAACCAGGCTGGCCAAACCTCCATGGGGTGAGGGTCCCCACTGGGGGGGGGGGGCATGACCAGCCTGCAAACAGCCATCAACCCCTCACCTAGGCTAGCCAGGCACCCCAGTGGGGACTCCCACCGTGAAAGGGCTGTGATCAGCTGCAAATAGCCATCAGCCCCTCACCCAGGCTGGCCAGGCACCCCAGTGGGACCCCCACCCTGATCTGGGACACCCTTCAGGGCAAACCAGCCGGTCCCCACCCGTGCACCAGGCCTCTATCCTATATAATAAAAGGGTAATATGCAAATTGACCCTAACAGCAGAACGACTGGGAATGACTGGTCACTATGACACGCACTGACCACCAGGGGGCAGATGCTCAATGCAGGAGCTATCCCCTGGTGGTCAGTGTGCTCCAACAGGGGGAGCTCTGCTCAGCCACAAGCCAGGCTGATGGCTACCAGCACAGCAGTGGTGGCAGGAGCCTCTTCCGCCTCCTCAGCAGCACTAAGAATGTCCGACTGCAGCTTAGGTCTGCTCCTTACTGGTAAGTGGACACCCCCCACGGGCTGCCGGGCTGCCAGAGGGATGTCTGACTGCCAGCGTGGGCCTGATCCCCCAAGGAGCGGGCCTAAGCCAGCAGGTGGACATCTTCCGAGGGGTCCCAGACTGCAAGAGGGCATAGGCCTGGCTGAGGGACCCCCCCAAGTGCACAAATTTTTGTGCACCAGGCCTCTAGTCATCATATAATTCACACTGACATTAACTTACTCTGTTATTTATTTTATTTGTCATCCATTTTAGAAATTTCAAGAATTATAGCAGTTATCTCTGTCATCATCCAAACCATGTTTCCAAAAATTCTCTTTAAGGAGATTGATTAGCAGACTTATTTCATAGTATAACAGTTATATTGTATAGAAATCATTTTGCAGTATACTGAAACTGTCCTTGGTAACAAATACCTAATATATTTTTTAATGAAGGTGATATATAATTAATTTCTTAGACAACCTGAAATTTAAAAAAAAAGTATGCCTATAACAAATGACCTGCTCAAACTTCCTCAATAGTATTTCTTGCATGATGCTCTCCCAAAGAAATGTCTAATATGTAGATTATTCTATGTCCAAATTTTTTTTCATATGGAAAGTGGGGAAAATATCTCTCAGTGTCATGTTATTGATTCATTAGACCACTGTGGACCTTTTTATTTATTCATCCATTTATTCCTTTCCATCAGATATTTTGAGCATCTATCATAAAAATCAAAGGGTGTTCTAAGCCCTAGAGATATAATAATAAATTATATAAGTATGTAATTCCTCTATTTGTAAAAGTGAAAAAAGGGCGAAATTGTTATCAAAACACTCAGAATTTATAACAAATCATCTAACTTTTATTATTATTACTTTTTAAACAGAAAAATTATTCTCATACTTTTGTATGTTTTAAATATTCAGATAAGTGAATAAAATGATTTATAAACCTTTGGTCAGTAGAAATGGTGATTAAGTTACTCAATCTTCAATGGTTCTAGTTTCAACAAAATATGTAATTATAAATTTGTCCTTTTAGGCTGAGGTTTCTCTATATGTCAAGTGGATACTGTCACACAAATGCAAGAGTTCCAGGCATTTTTTGTTAGACTTCAACATATACACTATGAGTAATTAGATATATAGAATAGTCTAAAATAAATTTACGATTTAGGATTGAGAATTAGGTATATCTACCATCTGGGTTCACTTATCAATACATTTACCTAAGTGTCTATATGTAATGCCTTCACCAGCTACAACGCACCCTGATGCCCATCTGTTGCCTGGCACTGACTTCACCTGTTGCCTTGCACGTGGACTTGCAAGGGCACCACTGGGTGGCACTGCAGGACTGCTTGGGCAATCTGCAGCTATTGGTGGCCATAAAGAGAACCTCCCTGACTCACATCTCCAGATCTGCTAGAATTGTAGCCTGTCCCTAAGCTCGAAATAAAGTAGACCCTTGATCTCCTTTTATCCCCTGGCCAGTCTGCTGGACCGTTCAGTGCTTTGAAAGAGTGCAGTATTGGCCCACAGAGAGGGTTCAGACTTCTACTTTAGTCACCAGGTCAGCCTGCAGCTTATCAATAGTATAGAATAGTAGCATCTAGTCTGATCAAAGCACACTAGAGAGCCCAGTATTTCCCCCTTTCTTCCAAAGCTATGTTCAAGTCCAAGACTTTGTGGTTGTTCTGGATCCTACGTCTTCATGCAAATCCTACATCCAAGAAGTTAGATTTATTTCATTTAAAAATTATACACAGAATCTCACTACTTCTCACCATTTTCATTCTCTGGCCCAAGACACTGATACAGTACTTCTTTTCTCCGTAATTAGGAGCAATTAACTTCCTTAACTGGTCTCTCTCCTGTCGCCTTGCCCCACTTACCCTCCACTATCAGCATTGAGGTCAAATAAATATTTTCAAAATGAATTTCCCATTTGATTGTCCCCTGTTTTTAAATGCCATTCCTTCCTCATTTTCCTCAGGATAGAAGACAAAATCCTTAGAATGTCCTTAAAGTCTTTCCATAGTCATTTGACCTCTTCTGCGAGTTATTTACTGGGCTCCAGC